TTTCAATCTGTATTTCAACAACTCGGTTTAAGTCCAGCGTACAGTGATTGCAGAAGTCAGTTGCTTCATGAGATGAATCTTTGGACTTCCTTTTTTCCTCCATCTGAAGTCAGTGAATATACTACTGACAACGAGAGTGTAGAGTGAGCTTTCTCTTGACTGTAGGGGAAAGACTCCGGACGAAATTCAGAGGTGCGTAATTAACTCCCGGACGGAACTCGAGTGAATACTTAAAAAAACAGGTTATTTTCCAAAAATTGAATGTTACATGAACTCTGCATGATTGTTAAATATCAAATAATTTAAAAACTTGTTGTCGATAGTTTTGCGAGTTCGAATTTCATAATTTATTCGTACTATCATGGACATGAGTCGGCATGAGAGGTTAATCAATATATTTCACCCGCATGTAATCAATATCAACTAAAGGCAGGTAACCTAGTTACAATCATTCAACAGTCAATTCGTGCAAAAATTATTTCTGTCTGCTTCTGCCACACTTTTGGACAGATGCAAGTTATACATATTTTTTGTGTTTCTTTTATTTTTTACCATCCATTTCGACATGTGTGATAATTAAATTTTTAACTATGTACAAAAAAGGGTTTTTGGTGAAAGTGGAAATTGATGTACAGAAGGTAAGCCCTTTAAAATTATATTATCAATAATACGATAATAATCACTTTATAACTGGACGGGGTGTTGATATAATTAGCGCAACAGGTGAAAATATTTAGGGGACATTTAATTGTATCTCTGTTGATCATTACAATTTTTTTCGAAAAATAAAACTTAGAAATTCACATACTTATTTGAGAATTACATAGATGGTTGAATATTACCTGAAAGAATATCATCACTTCTCTTCCTAAAGCTTTAATATATAGCTATTTGGTTTGACTGAAATACGCGTTATCACAATTTTATAAACTCCACTTTTGGTATTATTTTTTTGGTAGACTTAATTTTCATTCCAATGGTTATTTTCAATTTGAAAATTTTGTGTATAAGAATTGTATATGGGAATTGATGAAATGAAGTATTCTTTACGATTTCCCCCACAAACTCATAACAAACGAAACACATTGCTTGGTGTAATTTACTAGATAATTTACTGATGCAATTAGTGAAAAAAATTGTACTAGTCGCTAAACCTTTTTTATATGAATAAAAAGCTCGTCTGAATCGAAAAGAGTCGATTTCTAGACGACTTATAGTTTGGCCATTTGTGTTGTTATCTAACACGATAGTGGAAAATAGTCAAAAATGTATTTGATTATAAAATCATGTCATACCAAACATACATTTTTCAATGGAAGATCAAGTCTTATGGATTTCTTACTTTCATAAAATATTATGTAGGTATGTAACTAATCATGAAAATTGATGAACATCATTCTTTTCGAATTAGTATGAATTCATCAAATATGTATCTGAAAATTTCATCTCATATTGTAGTAAATCAAAAACTTCATTCCAAAATCAGTTTTTTAAATGCATTTACATATAAGTCATGTGCCCACTGTGTCATGTGGACACATGACTTATATTAATTTTCAGCGGCTTTATTTCTCTGTATTGGTTTTTTTGGCATTTGAGAACACCGACACCTTTAACTATACACAATACCGGTTACTTCGACTATACTATATTTGTGAAAATCTGTGCTTAGCTGCTCTAATTTTGGCATCAGCATTTTGGTAATTGCTCTTGAATCTGGTTTTTGGAACTGCTTACAATACAACTCATGTCGCCTTTTGTATAATTTCAAAAAGGCTTTCATTGTCTGAAAATAAATGGTCAAAACAATTCTGAAAATTCATAAATCGTCCGATGTTTTCTTGTTCATCGGTGTTGCGAAATCTTGAACCCATTATTCGTGAAAACTTCCTTTACGGATCCGCCAACTGTAAAAAAATATATGTACAGTGCTTTTCAGATACAAGTATCCACCTATAATAACTTTTGTAATACTGGTATTTAGGAAAAATCCAAAAACCCGTCAATTTATGTTGGAAGGGATTCCAGTTTGAAGGCTTCTACATTTTGGGTATCAATAATATACCAGGTCTGAAAAAGCATTTACAATAAACAGATCGACCATTTTTGCTTGACTTCTGCGGTTTGCATACACAGTTGAAGCTCCGTCATAGTGGTCTGTTCAAAATACAGTGCGCATCATAAGTGTTACCCCCCCTATCTAACTCGTTACTGGACTATTGTTAGGAAAATTGCCGAAACACGTCGATTTTTAATTTCTACAATGTACATTTGAGTTGAACAGTTCACCCCTAATTTCATCCCTTACTGGAGGGGAGCAACCCTTTCGAAAAATTCAAATAGCATGGGGTGGTGAGTGATAGCTCATTTGATAGGGGGTTTTATTCTCTATTCAACCGTGCAAAGGAATTTAAATTTGCTGCAGTAATTGAAGAGTTATGATTGTTTAAGTATAACGACAATTAAGATGGCGCAATCACAATAAAAAATTCGGCCCTGTATGATATCGGTTTTGATTCATACGTCGAGTGAGACGTTTTTGTCATTTGCGTAGATATCAACTGCCACTTATATTCATCAACTGATATTCATCTTCCCACAATGGTTGTACTACGTGCTTCAAATGAGAAATGCGAAACGATTGTTATTTTTTGTGAGGCTCATCGCAATTATCATGAGGATATACGAATGTTCAATGAACGTTTTCCAGATCGCCGCGCCGTGTTGATAGACATTATTTCAAACAGCTAGTGAAAAATTTTATGAGAACGGTAGTGTGCAAAACAAAACACGATCTGGGCGATCTACTACAGCGGAAGATAAACACGTGGACATTATGAGCGAGTTTGTGAATAATCCGTCTTCATCAAGTAGAACTGTTGCCTTGAATTGTGAGGTTTCGCAGATGACGATATTGAGAGTTCTAAAGAAAAATAAATTTCATCCCTACAAAATAAAAATGGTGCATAAATGGTGAAATTGTCTCTAACAATATTTTGCGAAATCCCAGTTATTTGAAACACATTTGTTTCAGTGATGAGACTACATTTTTTTAAACGGTCACGTGCATAGACAAAATGTGAGGTACACAAAATGTGGATTACGGAAGTGTGTGCAACAATTACTCGCGATACTCTGCAAAGTGTCAGGACTGAAACTAAAAATAGACTATATTTTTGCCAGGAGGTCAACGGGGAACATTTTGAACATTTACTGTAATAACAGAAAAAGTTAGTGATAGTTTAGTTGACTTCCTGTTTGTGGTATAATTGTTTGCACGGTTGAATATAAAATAAAACCCCCTATCAAAGGAGCTATCACTCACCACCCCATGCTATTTGAATTTTTCAAAAGGGTTGCTCCCCTCCAGTAAGGGATGAAATTAGGGGTGAACTGTTCATACTCAAATGTACATTGTAGAAATTAAAAAATCGACGTGTCTCGGCGATTTTCCAGTCCAGTAACGAGTTAGATAGGGGGGGTAACACTTATGATGCGCACTGTATAAGGTGAATTTCAAAATTTCGCGTGCTACGTACATTCGATTCACGATTTTTTTAATTTTCTTATATTGGTACACTCTTCACGAACATATGTTCACAGTTTCAGCTATTTAGCATGTTTAGTTTGTTGGTGAGAGGCATAAAAGTTAGAAGTGTTTTGTGTGTTCGGCAATGTTCTGCTATCGAAAAAAATGGATGAAAAATTTGCATCACATTTTGTGTAAAAAAAGGGAATTAAGTGCTCAAAAACACTTGTAATTATGACAGTGGCGTACAGTGATTGCACTCTGAGCCAGTAAAATGTTTACAAGTGGTACACGCCTTTCACAGACGGTGGAGAAGATGTGAATAAAGACGCTCGCCCTGGCCCGCGACTGAATCATACCTTGCCATTTTTTCGGAAATTTTTGATATAAACCATGTGGTAGCGAAGTTCGTTCCGAAATTGCTGAATTTTGACAAAAAAAACCGTCGCTTGAGCATCGCTCAGGAATTGTTGAATGACGTCAACGGCGATCCAGATATGCCTAAGAGGGTAATAACTAGTGACAAATCATGGATATATGGTTAAGACATAGAAACCAAAGTCCAATTGTTCTAATGGAAGAGCCCAGGAGAGCCAAAACCAAAAAAGCACGCCAAGTTCTATCAAATGTCATGGTTTTGCTCACTATTTTCTTCGATTACTGTGGTGTAGTGTACCAGGAGTTCTTACCACATGGTCGTACGACCAATAAGGAGTATGAGCTGGAAGTTATGCGCCGCTTACATGAAGCAATACAAGGATTGGAGGATTGGAAGAAACGTTGGGTATTATTATGTTTTCCCCGTTTGACCAATAATCATTGAATAATAATCAAACTTAACTTTATTTCACTTTACATAAAACAAACACTTCAACTATCATTCGAATGTCTATCGCCTTACTAGATCACTTCGCATACCGCACTGCAACTTCCATTTGACTGTCTCGATATGCTCGTGGCTAGCGTTTATATATCGTAATCGAATGCGGTAAAAAATTCGCTGCAATTCCATCGAAGTCGGTAGCATTATTCTCGCTGCATCTAGAGGGGCAGCGAAGTCGTACATTCGCGCGCTCTTAGGTACGTCACAATTGGTTTATGGATACCAGTGGCGATAGGCGTTATTTTCTTTAGGGCATGATTTACGACAGTATTATACCTGAGGGGGCTACTTCGAAGGGAACAAAATAGAAATTGATGAATGAATAAATATTTTTTGAGAACATTTACATAATTTTTGGAACAGACAGCGTATATGAGATGATGTCAGCAAATTACCAACAAACAATTCAATAATGACCGAAATTCCAAAGTAATATAATTAAAAAGTAAAAAGGTTTGTGAAACCGTCAAAAGCGAATTCGATTTTATAGCCGATTCTGCCAATTATCAAAGAATACAATATAGAATACAAAATTAGTTTTCGAAGGTATCGCAAGGAAGACGATTTTAAAATTTATTGAAATTTCAGATAACGAGTGGTTTTACACGGAGCTGATTCAGTGGAAATCATGCGACGAAGGATGTGTATTAGCAAGTTTTCGCAGTACCCTAGATGATTTATTATATCCATCATCATTCGTCGGTTCGATGGCAGGAATGGACATAGACTTATTAATGGAACCAACAAATCTATTTCCAGTAAGAACCTACTTTGTAATAATCAACGAAAATGTTCAATTACCTCGATTGAATTTTAATATTCTGTACTTACTAGTTATGACTTGTTAAGAAGCTTAATGTCAATGATCTTCACTTGTATAGTGTGACCAGTTGAAATTCTCATCTTATGAGTCTACTTTATCTCCTTAAGATGCCAACTTGGTAGGGGAATTATGTATGACAATGTACGTATAAGACGCTTCATGGAAATTTGCAAAGTCATGTTTATTAATAATTTGATTAGTAGTCAGAAAGAACTAAAACTATGACTTTTTATCATCGACTCTTGAATCGTTTGAGAGACTGCTTTTAGTAAGCATCATTGACTTGTTAGAAAAGTATGCAGAAGGAGCGGGAGCGTCTCAATCCCCAACTCCTGATCCAATAACTTAACCTAAAAAAAGGTTTAGTGGTGCAGCCAGGAAACGACTGAGTCGTCTCCTCAAGAGCGGGGTACCTTATAAAACCGCCTTGCACCAAATTTTTGAGCGACGTACGCAGAATCTGTCTCAGGTGGAGGAACAAACCCCCCATGAGCAGGTTAGCAAACGTTTACACTCAAGTGATGATTCACCAAAACCAGAGGCGAAAAAGCTCTGCACGGTTGAATCTAATGCATCGTCAGGTATAGCTGACGTGCAAAAATCTTTATATGGGAAGGTTGTCGAGGGTATCAAGGTGGGAATTTTGCACCTTGACCATCCGGCTAGCTAATTAACAATGAAACAGCATTACATATACTTTGTGCCTGTCCCGTTGGGGACCGAATCAGATTTTTAGAGTTCAGCATAGCCGTACTCTTACCATCTGACACGAAAGACCACTCACCATACAAACTAATCGGGTTCGTTAAGAAGCTGGGCTTATTCGGTCGAGTGTGAATAGGTGTGAGCCACAATAAACCCTTGCGGGTTGCGATGTAGGGTCGAATAGACCCACTCACTTTGGACCTAATCTTACCTGAGTACGCAGAATCAAAACTTCTTCATCCTGGCAACCCCACATAACAAATCAGAGATTGTCTTGTATTTTCTTAGTTCCTCATCCTCAAGGATAGTAGATTCTGAGGTGTGCGACTTTAGTGTTTGATTAATCTTATTTAATGTTGCCCTTAAAAATTTGGTGTACTTGGTTCTCAGTACATTTATTTGAGGTGTTCTATAATAAAGATCTTCAGATACCATACATATTTTATGATTACTAGTAAACGATTATTTATCAGTAAATGATAATTTAATGATTTCTAATTAATTATTAAATTGTTATTCTCAGGGAACAATTTCGCCAAAGTTAGAGGTTAGTACTAAAACTACAGTTGAAGAAACCTTCTTTGATCTTCAGTCGGATAGTTCAAGAACAACACTGGTAAAATCGAAACCGACGATATCAAGACCACCGCACCAGAAAGGGTTCCCGAGAAGAGTTTGCCACTCCGTTGCATTCAGCAGGTGAGAAAGATTTACTTCATGTTGAAAGAGGGCTCTGAGACGTGAGGAATGGAAAAATTGAAGCACTTTTTACAGATATTACAGTCTTTTTTTTTGGTTCCTTGGGAGCTGTCTGACTTGTCCATGTAGTCCAAGTCTCCAGAAAATACTACAGCCTCTTGGGCTTGTTGCGTTTATTCTCCCATCTTCTCATGACACCCATTCTATCATTCTCGTTCCCTGTACTAGTTTGTACAGATTCCGTGTTGGATGTTGTCATATTCTTCTGGATGTAATTTTGTACGTTCATATATTGCCTGCCTCCTGTGATTCAGTGCCTCGTATTTGTATAAGATGTGTAGATCTGTTTCTATCCCTTCGTTGCATAGTCTGCATCTGAGCTCTCCGTTATAGAGCCCCATTTTATTCAGGTGTCCTCTAAGCGGACAATGACCGGTTAGTAACCCTGTAATCATTCTGAACAGATCCCTACTATATTGAAGTAGTTCTTCGGTTCTTTTCTCGGTCGATTCTCTAATGAAAGTTCTACTGTGTTTGTTGCCAGGTACTTTTGTCCTGTACTCTGTGTACTTCTTATTGGTCCATGTCCTAATCTGGCTTCGTACCAATGATTTTGGTACCTCCAGAGCTGGTTCAGGACCTATATATGAAGTTGATGATCCATGTCTAGCGCTCTGTCATTAGCTTTATCATTACCTGTGATTCCTGAAAACCCTGGCATCCAACACAAAGTTAATTTTTTCCCAGACCAGTTTTGATGTCACTTTCGGGTTTGTCAGAGTGCCTAGTGCGCTCTTGCTGTCTGTTAAAATATTGATCCGCTCATTTCTTTGAGGTCTCAATTTAATAAGCCTTGTACATTGCAAGATAGCACACACTTCCGCCTGAAAGACGGATGTGTATGTTCACAGCACACCATTGACACCTCAAGTTATTATATTTTAATATTTTTGACTTATTTGTACCATCATACAGTTCTTTCTGGAAGGTGCAAACAATTTCATAAAGCGTCAAATATTATTTTGTGAAGTTTTCATACTTTTGTCTTCCATTGAAATCTTCTCCCCTCCCCGAATCAAAATCTTTTGTGCGTTCTTGTCAGAAATAAGTATCCACCTACTCTTTTTGTCTCCATCTAATCTAAACTTTCTGATAAAAAAATGTCTTCGAACAATAAAGCAAAGTTTTAATCAATACATTCATAATCATTCTTATGATGTTTGTTGTCAGTAATGTTACTTCTATGTGAAGGTACTTTATAATAGAATAAATGGAATGCTTCTGGAATAATAACTTCATTGAATAAGCAATTCATTGAAACATTCGAACATTACTCTTCAATTACACTCTATAATTATTGCACTCAATTCACTTGTTCACTTATCGCTTTCCTTGCTCTCGATCTATCACGCGTTACGTACTATTCTTATCTTTTGGAAGATGATACATCAGAAATCCACGTTCATAGACGCTACATTGGGGAGAAGTACACTCAACAGCATATAAACTAAGGAAAATTGTTGCAGGGCTCAAAAAAATATACCGTTAAAGAGAAAGGCAAGGCCTCCCTTCAAATATTCCAAAGTATCAGACGACTTGATTTTGAGGACTAATCCCAATATAGTTTTGGGAGGTGATCAATCTGATGCCGATAAAGCTTCAACTATTTCGCACTGCTATTGCGCGTGAGTATTTTATGTGACCCTTTCATGTTTTACCGATTTCGAGACAAATATATTGTTAGAAATGAAGTAAGGCATAGTAGGGATCGGATGTTAATTTTTTCTGATATCTTTTCTTTTCAAGATCTAAAAAGTCGAAGAGTGCAAATTCGCAAATGATAGGGAACTGGCTAGCACAAACCTATCAGGAAGGCCGTGGTGAGTACTAATAAAAAAAAGTAATTAATTACTGGTTTAATGACTGTAGGAAGGTAACTTGAGAGTTGAAGGAGTCTCTAGTTCAAAATGTGTTTTGTAAAATTTTTGATGACTATTTTTTGACATTTTCATTTGCTTTGCCATACTTCCGATTTGACCGGAAATGACCCCAACTTTCGAGTTTTGAATAGGACATTCAGAAAAACAGAGAAAATATAAAGTGAAAGTGTGTGGCATCAAATTATTCGGAAAAATTCATATTTGCGATTGTGACTGTGACGACTGTGAAGTCATAAGCCTCAAAGTCGTAGTTTTCCCATGTTACTTGATCACGAATGAAGCGATTTACACGATCCACGGCATTCTAGATCAAAAAATAAAAATTGGAATAAAAATGATTTTATTTGTCAAATATTGACAAGTGAAGTATTGTTGGATTTATAATGTCATTCTCCAACGAAATAAGTAAAAATATATAGGATGTCCAATGCATGATGGGGCTCCCGCCCATTTTAGTCAAGGAGCATGTCAGCATTTAACTAAAACATATACAAATCAGTGGATAGGTCGAGGAGGATCGCAGAACAGGCCCGCTCGATCCCCGGATCTCAATCCTCTCGATTTCTCTATTTGGAGCCATTTACAGCATTTGGCTCCAAAATGATAAATTAGTTTTGTTTATTACCCTTTAATCGTTTAATGCAGGTACTAACTACAAAATAACAATAAATCCAGTTCGCATTTATGACGATGTATCTCCTGTTCGTAAAATAATTTTTTGCTGCGAACTGGTTTATTTTGGGCAAAAAACCCAAAAGACATTTTTTGTTTAGAATGAAACAGACTATCGGAAATAAATTTTAAAATGGTAAACAAATAATAAGACAAAAAGTTACATTGGAAATGAATTTTAGGGGTAGCGTTTTCCACCCCTTACAACCATGGGGTAAACCAAATAAATTACTGGCTGAGTGTCTTTTTGGTAGTACAAAACGTCAGGTCAATTTCAATATTGTAAATTTTTCAGTGCTTGTGAAAAAAATTGTTATACAAATTTCATGTACCTACCCCCTTTAAGGGGCTGTATCTTAACAAAGGATGTTCCAATGAAGTTTCTTTATATGAAAGATCCTATCTTTTTTTCGATGAGGAATCACCCCCTTAAATGTTTTACACTTATTTAGTTACACCCTGTATACAATGTATTTTAAATTTAAGTGAATGTATGTAACTTATATTTTCTCTGTAACAATTAGTCGTATGGTGACCATTGTATGTCAACGGCGAACACTATAGATTATTGAATACTAACTTCTTTTGGCCTGAATTGGGTGATCTGGACACCAACGACATGTGGTTTCAACAGGACGGCGCTACGTGCCACACATCTCATGTCACATTGGATATTCTGCACGAGCTATTTGAGGGCATGGTCATCTCAAGTGGAGGTAATGTAAACTGGCCACCGATATCGTGCGATTTGATCCCGTCAGACTTTTTCTTGTGAGGTTTTCTCTAATCACAGGTGTATGCGAATAAGCCACAAACCGCAGCGGTCTTTAAAGCCGAATATTACCCATGCCATCGGTCAAATTCAGACTGATTTTTGCGCCAGAGTCATGGAAAATTGGACGTTTCGAATGTGCTCCACCCCGAGAAGCCGTGGTGGATATTTGAATGATATTATATTCACGGATTAACGGAAAAACAGATTTTAAAACAAATTTTTTTAAATAGGTCTTTAAAACGAATGAAAATTGTCCATATCTCACACATACTTTGTTTTATTTAAATTTAAAGATAGAAAGATCTTAATAAAAGACAATATAGAAAGTCAAAACATAGTAATTTTGTGATGAAATTTAAGTGGATATACAATCTTTAGAACAGTTTATGTACAATTCAATAAATAACACTAATAAGCTTACTTTTTTTTGTTTTAGGTAAAGTACACAGTAAGACCGATAATCACAAAGAAACCTGTTCTCTGTGCACCATGTATGACGGTTATTTCATCTCCAATTGTCCTAAACCGGTATTTATTAAAAATTACTGATAATATTTTCTATGTTCACTTTTGATTTAACTGTCTTTCAGAAAAGTTCGCGCCATTCGTGGGTAACAAGCAGAAGTAAGCCTCCAAAGTTGTGTTGGTACTGTAAACAAAATTACTCCGAAACATATCCGACATCGGCATTTAAAAATGGGTCTTCATGTAAATCAGATGTGTCCGATAGTTCCAGGAAAAGAGTTTGTTTTTGTTCACCAACCGAGAAAGCGAGTACTTTAGCCCAGCGATTGCATGATAAATTATCCAAGACACTCGATACCAATAGCAGACTTTTTCAAAGATGCATTGATTTTGACGATTGCTAGGATACAAATTTTTAAGGTATAAGGAAGTGACAAATTAATCACTTCTTTTTGCTTGATCAAATAAAACACAAATTGTTAGTTAAATACTTTCTTTTCAATCACTCATCAAATATTTATGGAGATGTATCGGCAATATTCCAGTTATTGTTTTCTTGTAGACAATTAGGAAGTCTTTAGAGCTATATCGTTATATAAGAGATTATAATAATATTCAAACAATACAGTATGGTGAGAAGTCCCTGCTCTTAACTTTTGACAGGTACAAAATATCGAGTTCGAACGAAATTTAAGTAAAAATGCATCGTTTCTAGTACTCTTTGGTAATAAATGCAATAGTGTTCATTACTCTTCGCTGATTCTTTATCCAACTCTGGTTTGTTAGCCGGATTAGCCGTCGAAAATCGGATTAACCGTCCCTTAATTTCAATGACAAATGTATTCAAAACTCTGTTTATTGTAAGAAATATTGAAAAAAAAAAACACCATTCACATCCTGACAATAATGAAGTTCCAAAACAAGCAATTTTCCCAATCACCCTTATGTCAAGTAATGAACAATAAAAGCTTGGCGACATAGTGTCCTTCCTAATAAATACAAGAGAAAGAAAATATAAAACAAGTTCATGAGTGTTTAAGAGACATGTTGCAAGCTTGTGATTTCTCTCTCATTATTTCTCTGTCCTACGATTATGACTCTTTTATTTTTTGTTTTTCATCATTTCTATGTCCAAAATTAAAATATGCCCGCATCTCTATCACCTCAAAACGGTAATACCGAATCTAGCTTTTCCTGTAAAAAAATGTAATATACTGAGAGAGATATAAGGCTTTTTCTGACGCTCATGTATTCAAAACGTATTCGACTGTGATTGAAATACATTCATTCTGGCGTTGAAAGAAACGATGATGTCACATCAATTATGGTTTTAAACGTATTCATGATGATTGAAAACTAACGTGAGGTTGGTTTTGAAAGTACAATACGTCAGTTTCTGTTTTATTTTGATCGTTACAGCACCGTATATAAGTTTTACTTAAGTATATAAGTTTTACTTATATACGGAGCACCGTATATGAGTTTTACTTCTATACGGTGGTTATAGTTTATAAAGTGCTGAAATTGAGGTTACAAAAAATTGAAAAGTTCTCTCTCTCTCTCTCTCTAAGTTTATGGACGTTGCTTTACACTCGGACGCAGGCTCCTCCTGTCAAATTGACAAAAGCTTCGTCGGGGGAGGCGCAGTGGTCTTGCTCAAAGCAATGCTGCCACCCCTTTTTTGTCACACTTTTTATAATAAAAAACGATGTTTTTTTACTGTCGCCTCCTGATCAGAAGACCTTTTGGTTTTTTACATATATAGTTATTGTCTCGTCTCCTCTTCGGGAGATCTTCTGATTTTTGAAATCACATATATGACCCCTTTACGTGGTTATCCGAACAACTCCGGCCTGGATACCGGCGTGAATAAAGGGGCCCTTAAACTTCACTTTTTTTAAAAACTCACACATTTCAGTAGCATTACAAAGACTAGCACAACACAAAACGGAGCCCCACGATAGCACATGGCATCCACATACCTTCTTTGTGGACGGACGTTATCAGCACGTCCGTCCACTACCACAACGAGGCTGAATTGAAAAGTTTGTTTCCATCATTGAATTTGACATCAGACACGAATTGAATCATTCCATTTTGGCGAATCTTATTATTAATGACGTCACTGCGAATCGTTTTTGAATACATGCTCGAATACGATTAAACGCCAGAAAACACCTATAATAACATAGCATACAGTGTAAGATTTCTTAAAGGTTCAGCATGTATGTCACTCATTAATTATCATTATTGTTGTCCGTATCTAACCAAATCTTCACGAATACCTATATGAAAATAAACAATGATCAGAGATGACTTCCATTTGGAAATAAGAAATATGACAATAAAAAACGAAGTGCCGCTCATAAAGTTCGAGCAATCAAACTTCATAGCAGTTGCTACTAAACTATAAAAATCTATTAAGTTTTACTGTTTCTATAGTGGTTGCTGTACATGTAAATGCAGCCCTAAATGTTTTGTATTTTTCTGTTGCAGGAAACTTGCAAAAAATTACCTGGCATTCATGTGATAAGACGAGTGGAATGTACAAGAATCACCTCGCATTCTTTAATTCATGAATATGTGGACCGCATGATAGGATACTAGAGATAAATTATTTGTAGTTGTCATATACTTAAAATAAAACATATAAAAATGTATTTAGCTTTTTTTTTGCTGTCGCTTGTTAGAACTTAGAACTAATCGGCATTCTGAACATATTTGCCTGATCTTCGAAACGACCTGTAAACCCCACTCGAATGCTCCGCTACATTTATCAAATTCCAGTATAATACAGATCGCATTCTGACGTATGTTCGTCTATTCCAGAAAATTGGTAATCTGCTACAATAATATTTTTTGTCGTGTTCAAGGCGAGCCATATTACGGAATTTCTGATATTTCTCTAGCTCGTGTTGCTGCTTCTTTAGAGGTGCTTCCATTTCTAACATTGAAAGCGGATCATTGAATATGGAAGCAATTCTAAAGAAGCTAGCTACGCCTGTTAGCGAAGTCATTGAGGCCCGACAAATGTATTACTATATAGATTTGGTGAACATTTTGATGTTGAATCGCTACGTTCAGAGGAAGTAAATTGTAGAGGAGCAGTTGCCTTTACCCCTCTCTTTAAGGTACTCCATCTTGGGTAACCCCTCTTTGATTCCTACCTACTGTTGTAAAGAACTAGTCTAACTCAATATTATGTGAATTCGTTTAATGCAACTCTGAGATCTGTACGTTCGATCAGTTCATTAATTCGTGAGTTCAGACAGTTGACAGATTTGACAATGTTCGTCTATTCCAGAAAATTGGTAATCTGCTACAATAATATTTTTTGTCGTGTTCAAGGCGAGCCATATTACGGAATTTCTGATATTTCTCAAGCTCGTGTTGCTGCTTCTTTAGAGGTGCTTCCATCTCTAAAAACATTGAAAGCGGATCATTGAATATGGAAGCAATTCTAAAGAAGCTAGCTACGCTTGTTAGCTAAGTCATTGAGGCCTGACAAATGTATTACTATATAGATTTGGTGAACATTTTGATAATGAATCGCTACGTTCAGAGGAAGTAAATTGTAGAGGATCAGTTGCCTTTACCCCTCTCTTTAAGGTACTCCATCTTGGGTAACACCTCTTTGATTCCTACCTACTGTTGTAAAGAACTAGTCTAACTCAATATTATGTGAATTCGTTTAATGCAACTCTGAGATCTGTACGTTCAATCAAACAAAAGCCAAATAATTTCATGTCAAATATTTATCAGTCGTTATTTCGCTGCTACGGAAATGATCATCTGCTTTTATGAAAACCATACATGCCAAGATTTTCATATTTACAATGTTGACAATGATGTGATTGTTTCCTGCCTGCTGCTTTCTCAAAGAAAAAGCGTTCGGGAAATGAGTATAGTCACCAAAAACAATTTGGATGAAAATGTCAAAAAAAAAATAAAAAAAAAAAACGTCTCAGGGGATACAATTAGCAGTGTCCACTGATGCACTGATGGACATTGGCTAAACGTGTTAACAAATATTTCTGTCAATCTGCCAGTTAGAAAAAATTGAAATATTACAGAATAGAAACGAATTCAAATAATGTATACTTTCACGACCAGAGATAACTATGTGAAAGCTTTTTTCTCGGTTTTTTGGCCGTGATCTGCACGCATAAAAACCTGCAGACTACGGCTAAAAAATCCGGAAAATAGCTTCTACACAGAAACGAATTCGTTTCTATTCTGTGATAGTATTCTATATTCCAGTAACCATTAGATTGGATCTTGATATTTTTTGTTATGGTATACTATAATTCCAAAATAGAAGGCTCTAAAATCTCAGAACTGACTGATGTTTTTGCCTCAATCTGCCTCTTGCAGTGACGTACGGAAATTATACTAAACAGATGAGGAAAATTGATCATAAAATATATAGAATCACAACGTTGACAAAAATGTTTTCGTTTCAATGCGATAATATTTCTGAGAATTTATTGCCTACAATTATGAATTTGGACATATGCTCAAATTTATATTCCATTGGGACTGCACCAATATTCAAATTATCAGAACTTGTTTAGAGCCACCGATGGAAAACGCTATATGAGTCCTATGCCGTGCACAAACCATAAGTAGTTTGTGATGCCGTGTCTGTGTAAATTTTGAATATGTCAATATTGACATGTGAATAACAAAGTTCCCGCTTTGCAGCAGAGTAAAGAATGATAACACAGGTTTCAATATCAAACAATAGATTGGGGTAGAGTAAAAGTTTGTATTTTATTTCCAATATTCAGTGAAAATGGATACTACTAATGAAGAAGATGTCCGTAGTCAAAGTATTGATAACATAGATAAAAGTGATATTATAACTATTCTTGTTGCAACAGACATTCATTTGGGATTCGAAGAAAAAGACCCTATCAGGGGTAAGCGATGTCTAAATCATTTCAGAATTGAATACCTGTGCTGTACCTAATTATTGAATTGATTTATTAGTTTATAAATAATATAAGTTTAAGGATATTCCATGACTTACATGTATGCCTCTGAGAAACATATTTCATTATTCAGGTCAAGATAGTATCAATACATTCGAAGAAATACTAAATATTGCAGTTGTAAACGAAGTGGACTTCATTCTTTTGGGTGGTGATTTGTTTCATTATGCACGGCCAAGTCCTTATTCCATCTATAAATGTACTGAACTTCTTCGAAGGTAAGCAACAATAGTCACAAAAACAAAATTCTTTTTTTATTAGAAATATAAATGAAACCTTTGGTATAGGAAAGGTACTTGATTTTTTATGTGCATAAGTGCCTACGTGTGAGAAGATGTTGTTTGTGGCTGGCCTGGTTTTAGACAAAGTATATCAACAACAAAAGCCATATCTGAACGGGTTCAAGGAACAGTGGAGTCTTTTGAGAGGAAAGAAGCACTCACAGCTGTATTTTGTGACCTCTCAAAGGGCTTTGACCGTGTGTAGCATTTAATCTTATTTGAAAAACTCCCATACTTGAGAAGTCCCAAGGGTCTATCTTGGGGCCTTATCTATCTATACTATGTTAATGAAATTCCCCAGTATATGATTCATTTTAACACCATTCAGTATGCTGATGATACCAAGTTCGTGAATATTCTAAGGAACAAACCAAAGAGGCAACGAAGAGAATTGATACATTCTTCACAGCTAATAATTTGTGTCTTAACATAGAGAAAACTAATACACTCACTTTTACTCTGAAAGGGCTGAAAGCCTGCCAAAAACCCATTAATTTTTGGGAGTTATTCTGGATCCGAAGCTCGATTGGAAAGACCATATCAAAACATTATAATGTGATATTATGCTAATAAATTTTTGATTGATTGATTGAAACCTATCATTTAGTTTCCAACAAATCAAGTTTTCACAGTTCATCATGTCCAGTAATAGGTTTTGGTTGCTTTCAGCAATTCAAATTTTCAAAATATTATATATATCCACTTAATGCTTTCAGATACTGCTTCGGAGATAAGCCAGTTGAAATTGAATTTCTTTCTGACCCTTCTGAAAATTTCAAAAGTTGCTACAATCCTGTTGTTAATTACGAAGATCCAAATCTTAACGTTTCCATTCCCGTTTTCTCTATTCACGGCAATCATGATGACCCTACTGGACAGAAACAAATTTCAGCTATGGATTTGTTGTCCTCGTCGGGGCTAGTAAATTACTTCGGAAGGTGGAATAGTTTAGATAAAGTTGAAGTGGAACCAATATTATTGCAGAAAGGAGAAACTAAGTTGGCTCTGCTAGGACTGTCTCACATCAAAGATGAAAGACTGGGAAGGCTGTTTCTTGATAAAAAGGTATAAAATTGGATGTGTTGTTTCACAACACACATATATTGTATAATTTTTTCATAAATATATCACATAATTTTTTAAATGTATTTTTTAAAGTTTCAATTTCATTAAGGTTAAATTTATGGCACCCCCAGGAAATGATCAAGACTGGTTCAATTTATTGGTTTGGCATCAAAATAGAGCTACACGTGGAGTTAAAAATTTTATTCCTGATGATTCTTTACCAGACTTTCTGGATTTGGTGATATGGGGCCATGAACACGATTGTAGAATAGAACCAGAAAGTAAAGCCAATGGTGTCCAGATATCTCAACCAGGTAGGTCAAGTTAAGAATTTAAATTTGGTATTATATACCAAATTCACTATTTGGTATTATATAGAAGCACATTTTAATTTCAACAACTTTGTGACGCTATTCCTGAGCCATCAAGATTTTTCAGGTTTGAACTTAGCTATTGAATTTGGTTGTTCTAATCGTGTTGATTTTGGAAGGGGTGGACTTCATTATTCACCTTTTTCAGAAATTTCCCAGCTGGCGTATCCTGTAAATCAACCATTTTTTGACCATTATATGTTGCCTTTTGTTTTGATTTCTAATTGGGATATACTGATGTCGAAAATGGAGTCTGCATTTTGGATGAAACTGATATTGATTAAAAAGCTTTCAAATACTACTGAATGGGTTTGGGTCTTTGTACTATCTGTTTTGAGGACAATCGGAACATTTCGTATTTCGTAAGCAGGCATAAAAAGAAGAACTATTACTGAATGATCTGCATTTTTCCTTAAATAGTTTTTATTGACATTGATTTTTTTTTTCTTCGGAAATCATTTGTGTTGAAATGAAGATGCTAAAACTAAACAGTTTTAGTGTAGATTTTTCTTGCCTTCAATGTCATGAACCACTCTTGCTGGCGAAACATTGAGAAGACTAGAATAGGAGATTAATTTCTTAATCAGTTCCGATTCTTTCTAAATATAAAATTCAGGTTAACAATAATCATTATTTTTAGTAGGTATTTCATATAACTATTTTCGAATATTTTTAGGTAGTTCAGTTGCTACTTCCCTAGCTTTAGGAGAGGCGATTACTAAAAAAGTTGGCATATTGAAGATTCATAAAAAACTGTCTAAGATGATTCCAGTGGAACTAAAAACTGTCAGACCATTTATATTCCAAGAATTGGTACTCAAAGAGTTGAACCAATTGATTGATGAATGTGATGGTTCTTTAACTCCCATAGAAATAACTGAAGATATTGTTACTAAAAAAGTTGATGAGATGATAGAACAGGCAAAAACTTTAGGTGAGGCGAAAAAAATTTTGTTGGGGTATTTTTTTTATTGAACTGATTGGAAAACTGTTCAAATTTTACGTGACTATGAAGGTTCAATTCTCAAACATTGCATTACAATTCAATTGTTATCAATTTCAAGCTGTTTTTATAATATTTCCTGATATTTCTATATTTCAGGTAGAACTCCAGATGTAAGCGAAAAACCATTGATAAGATTAAATGTGAAAGTTAGAGATGAAAAACAGGTTTTCAATACAATCAGATTCGGGCAGTCTTATGTTGGTAAAGTAGCAAATCCAGAGGATATGGTAAAGTGTAATGTTATAAGACAACCTATTAGAGGAGACAAAAAAGGAGATGGTATCAGTCTGAGCGTGAGTGTATTTTCTTTTAGTATTCATGTTTGTTGAAAAAAAGCTAATTAAAATGCAACCTATCAATAAAGTTCGAGTAAGGTCCCTGGCAGTGGTCTATTGATAAACCAAGTTTCGACATTTTTCATCAAGTTTTTCAGGACACTTACTCTTAAGACGTCTTCATTATTACAAATCCAGAATAGCGCCGCAACAGTTTTCAAATTGTTCATTTGAAAAAAGTTGTGATAAGCAGAGTTTCCTGAGACGATTTGTTGTATGTAACTGATATTTAAGGAAGTGATGCAGACTCCCATCTCATCATGATACCACTCTGGGTTTGACATATTTGACTTGGACGATTTCATATTGTTATAATGATCAAATGTGATCCTAAAATTGTCACATTTGATGAAAAATTGTGGAAATTGTGGAACAAACTGCAAAATATGAACACTGGAAAACATTAATCTCATATTTCTTAGAAATCATGTCATCTTAAAATTGATGTTTTTCTATTCCAAAAATGAGATACATTACGATAGATTATTGGAACAATACAAAATTCTAGACGTTTTGTTGTCTAGGATGAAATTTACTTCTCAGGTTTTTTAGTTACTACTGAAAAAAGATCTTTACAAGTACCAAGTAAATAATTGTCTCCACTTTTATATTCCAATAACATATTTTTCATGAGATGTCCTATATAAAAATGTAATTTTAATGTAAAACAATACCATCTGTTCCTATGTATAAGGACTTCCTAACTTTAACTATTGATAACGGCCATCTTGTTAAAGCTACATCTGTCAAATTAGTTGATATTTATTCAGTTTGTTTTGTCAAATCACCATGGATGGATATAACATTCAACAACAAGTGTAAATATTAAAATTGTTTTATCAAAATGGGTGTTTTGTTCGGGCAATATACCGCTCGCTTCGCCCATTTTACCATCGGTATAATCGTCCTACCGAGAGGACTATTCGCAACGAGGTGGATGAATTTGGGTTCAACGATCGCCCGACACCCGTACGTAGTCGAAACGCAAGATCCGCCGAAAACATCGTCGCTGTCTGTGAGAGTGTGCAGGAAAATTCGAGGCGGTCGATTTCGCGTCGCTCACAAGAACTCGGCCTTTCGCAGAACACAACTTGGCGAATTTTGTGTCGTGACTTGGGCCTGCACCCGTACAAAATTCAACTGCCCCAGGAACTGAAGGTAAACAACCTTAGACAATGACGTGTCTTCGCTGAATGGGCTCTGGAGCAGTTGGTAACTGACCCTAATTTTCATCGAAAAATCATCTTCAGCAATGAGGCCCATGTCTGGATGAATGGGTATGTGAACAAACAAAATTGACGAGATCCAAAAGCGTCCATATGAGATCCAAAAGCGTCCAATTCATCCCGAAAAAGTCACTGTTTGGTGTAGATTTTGAACTGGCAGCGTCAACAGTCAACGGCGAGCGCTATAGGTCGATGATTACCAGCTTCTTTTGGCCTGAATTCGATGATCTAGACGCCAACAACATGTGGCCTGGCCACATTGGATATTCCATACGAGATTTGAGGGCATGGTCATCTCACATGGAGGGGATGTGAACTGGCCACTGAGATCATGCGATTTTATCCCATTAGACTTTTTCTTGTGGGGTTTTCTTAAGTCGTAAATATATGTGAATAAGCCACAAACAACAGCAGTCCTAAAAGCCAACATTACCGATGTCATTGGACAAATTCAGCCTGATTAATGCGCCAGAGTCATGAAAAATTGGACGTTTCGGATGCGCTCCACCCAGAGAAGCTGTGACGAACATTTGAACGATGTTATTTATTTATTTATTTATGTATAAACACGGGCAAGCCCAATTTAGATATAAGTAGTACAGTGCTATTTAGTACTTGATGCAATACAGTGGATTAAAAGTAATACGAATCCGAAGTAAGATAACAAATAGATTATTTAAGAAAAAATTAAAATGTATAACAATATGAATTAATATAATTCTTGCAGGCAAGTATCACTAGACACAATACAACAACACAAGCAGAGAGTATTAGAAGGCTAAGTGAAGAATATGGTTTTTAAAGGGGTACTGATATGTTAAAGATTTGAAAGTTATTTAAAGAGTTACCCAATCGAAGAGTTCTGGGAATAAAGCCGTTATATGAATAATTTAATCTGTGAAAAGAAACGTAAAACGTTTGCACCTGTCTAGTTGAACGACTGGGGACAAGTAAAGATATTTTGGAGAGAAGCTCGGGACTGATACTCAGTCCGTTGATCATTTTGAATAGAAGTATTAAATCTCTACGTTTTCTGCGAGCCTCAAGAGAAGGTATGTTCAAAATGCATTCCAATGCAATATAGTCATAGTATACACGCATCTTGAAGGCAATATATCGCAGGAAATTGTGCTGTACGGCCTCAAGTTTCACTTTTTGTGTAACGTAATGAGGGGACCAAACTGTGGAACAACAATTGAGATGAGATCTAACCAGGGAAAAATAAAGAGATTTAATAGCAGTGATGTTGGTGAAATCACAAGTGGTTCTCTTTATAAAGCCAAGCATCTTCATAGATTTTTGAATTACAGCGGAAATGTGTGATTTATAGCTAAGTGTGGAGTCTAGGATCACACCTAGATCTCTGGTTTCAATAGCAGAATGTAAGGTCACATTATTATGTTATATTTCACATATAATGGCATCAATAGGTCTTTCAAGCAAATAAATTTCGATGATATCTCACACACACTTTGTTTCATTTAAATTTAAAGATAAGAAGCGCTTAGAATAATATAGAATATAACATTTTCTTTTGAAAAAATACAATAGCTGGATAGCTTGATGTAATAATTCTACCATCAAATGGTTCATTCGAAATTTCATACATTTTGAAGAACAGATATTTGAACAGCGGTTAGACTATTCATTTGGCAATACTGAAAATCAATTTAATTTTTAGTATAAAATAATGCGAAAATTGACAAAGTAGAACCATTATTTAAAGCAGGTAAAAAAGACCAAATGACGAATTATAGACCAATTTCAGTTTTACCAGTTTTATCTAAGATTATTGAAAAATCAGTACATTCTAGATTGTTTGAATATCTTGAAAAGACAAAATTATCAAATGATGGGCAATTCGGATTTTGAAAAAATTGTGACACAGTCGGCAGTATTAGGTGTCATAACAAAGTCACAATCAGCAACTAAGTTCAGAAGGTCAAGTGAGGCAATTTCTTCTAGAAAGTGATCCTGTATAACTTTTTTCTATTGTATTGCATGAAATCATGTACCGAACTCAGTTCCTTCTATGAACAATCTTATTATTTTTTTTTCAGGATACTCCGATAGTAGCCGAAAGAGTAGAAGATATTGTCCTGGAGCATTTTTCTGAAAACGACTTATTGAAAATATTTCCGGTAGGACCTCTCGTTGAAAGTGTTAAAAAACATATAGATGCGAATGATTCAGAAGCATTTTCTTTGACAGTTGAGTGAGTATGTAATTTAATTATTTTCGTTTTGAGTAACTATGATGAAAGTAACTTAATTGAAGTAACTACTAATTCATTATTTTTTCTTCATCTCAAATTATTTTAAATGGAAACAGTGTTGAAATTGACTACATGCTTTCATTTGTCTGACTTGAACCCTCAAGGTATATTACGAGCCACTGCCTTGAATTGAATTGATATTTATTTCAGTTATTTATATCATACTTATCATTATCATCGAGAATATTTTAGTCCCAATCATATAATTGTGATGCACTGTTTGGAACTTTTGGTGTAGTAATGAATATTACTGGAGTTATATCTCAACAACAAACCGTTATTTTTAACACCTCGACACGTGTTTCAGTCACCAAATGATCATCTTCAAGAGGAAGATTCATCTTCACTTGGTGATCGAAACACGTGTCGAGGTGTTAAAAATAATGGGTGTTGGGTAGAATTCCAGTAATAGCTAATCATATAGCTTCTAGGTTGGATTTGAGTTTTTTAACTTCTCAAGTGATAACATTCTGAAATATTTTATGTATCATGTATTTCTACTAAGTGCTACCCATAAAAAATAATTGAATAATGAACTCCGAGACTGCTAATATTGAAATTTCATCACCGAAGAATTAGCGATCTTATTGTGGATGAAAAATGAAAATGATATTGACCTAACACCATCTTTCTAAATATATAATGAAACTATAATGTAAAAACTACATTGATTTCAATTGAAAGTTTCAAAAAAAATTCAAAAAATGAAATAACAAAAAAATACATGTATTGAGGATTTTTGTTTGGGTTTTTTCATATTTCAAACCTTATGAAAATTGAAAATAATAATTTTTTGATATATTTTTGAAGAAACTCATATTATAATTGCATTATTAATACGATATTCATGATAATATTTTAGGCATTTGATTAAAGAAACCTTGGACCACTTAGCAGAAAGTATGCCAGAAATAGAAGATATTGAGAGTGTCGTTAACAAATTTAGGATATCTAGGGAACAGGCTAGTTTGTCTTCGGTAAGTGATAAGTAACTGAAATATTGAAAAAATGAACATGTGGGAAGAACCAGACAAATTGCTATTTAATGTTCAAATCAAAGAAATATAGAAACATTTCCTGAGAAAATATAATATATAAAATCCCTTGAAAATATAACACAAAATTACAGAAAATATTTATTTTATCAGTCGGTTGCTTGAAGAATATACCTGTGAATTTAACTAGTTCGGACTTCCATTGTCTGATATTATATAAAATGATTTGAAATCCCTGAAATAACTAAAAAAGAAGAATTAAAAATTAAAGAAGAAGAATAAAAATGAATAGCTCAAAAAAACAATTATATTAAGCAAAAACCTGAAATGAAATAATAGTGAAATAAAATACAAGTAAAATTGAACAAATTGAACAAAAAATAAATAAAATGAAAAGAAGTTAAGAGATTCCAAGCCAAGTTTGTTTTTTTTTCAGCTATTAATTTTTATTCTTCTTCTTTAATTTTTAATTCTTCTTTTTGTTATTTCAGGGATTTCAAATCATTTTATATAATATCAGACAATGGAAATCCGAACTAGTGAAATTCATCATGAAACATTGTCAATCACCTTCAAACAATATACGTGTGTTGTGTCTCAATTATCTATTTTGGAACCTATGTTGTTCCTAATTTATATAAACTCTTTTTGTCAAATCTTGCAATTAAGAAAACACTAATGTATTCTGCAAAAATTTACAATAAAATTAAATTTGAAAATTATTTAGGCGAAAGAAAACAATTTGTCAAAATAAGTAAAAAACTAGACTGTTTGATTCCGTTCCATGTGGGTTACGAAAAAATTTACAATAAAATTAAATTTGAAAATTATTTAGGCAAAAGAAAACAATTTGTCAAAATAAGTAAAAAATTAGACTGTTTGATTCCGTTCCATGTGGGTTACTACAAGGATCAGTATTAGAACTAATTTTATTCAGCATTCATTCAGGAACTAATGTTGATATTATAAAAGAAAATATCAGGTTATTTCAAAAGTTTCGCCGTTTTTATGAGTCTACTTCAAACTGTAATATATCAGTGAATAGTCGTTTGATTTATTCGAAATAAGCGCCATTTGAATCAGTGCACTTTTGCCAATGTAACGCAAGTCAATCAAATCCGTCATCATAAAAACTGGGTACTCCGAGTTCGATGAAGTCGACGAAAGCCGTTTTTGCCTGGTCCTGATTGGCGCAGGTTCTACTGGTGAGAAAGTTATCGAAGTGCCTGAAAAGGTGGTAGTCGATTGGGGAGAGGTCTGGGGAGTATGGTGAGTGAGGCATGACTTGGACACTCAATTCTTTAATTTTCAAACGGCGATGTCGTGGAGCAGGATCGGACCTCTTCTGTTGACCAGTGCCGGCTGCTGCTGACGCAATTTTCGGTACATTTCGTCGATTTCCACACTGCTGTAATGGTATGGCCCGGTTGCAGAAATTTATACTGAATCACACCAGCCGTTACCACCATACAGTAACCATGTTTTTTTTTTTTTGGGTTTTCACCTTCGGGAAGTGCCTTGGTGGCCCATCAGTATTCAACCATTGTCCTGAATATCTACTGTTGTCATAGATGATCCACTTTTCATCACACGTGACATCAATGTATAGAGTACAAAAGTATCTATCGATCAGAATATACAAAGACACAGTAGAATAAATATTTATTGATATATGGAGCTACAAAAACACATGATATTCAAACTGACAAAATTTTTGAAACTACTTAATAAAACTTTTTTTCTCAAAGATTATTTTGTTTTATTCTATTAGTGGATTAGTTTGTCAAGCCTAATTAGACGACCACCTCAATATTGGTTAGAGAGGATTATAAATAATCAACAGTAGAGGTTAGAATTTCCCAATAGTTAGTTTGGAAATATTTTTTGAAGAGATATTTGAACATTAACTGATAATACATTCGTGAAAAAAAGTAACTTGGGGAAAATTCTTTTGAAAATAACTATACAGGTTAATCTAAGACAATATACTTTAATTATACGACGATTATTAGATTATCCGTAATAAAATTATTATTGGATATAGCATTTTTTTTGTAGGTTCACAGACTTCTTAATGATCCTCACCGGCAAAAGAAACGAATCCCTAGTAATGAAGATAAAAAACCCATGCGTCAAGGAAGTGATGAAAATGACGATGTCATGGTAATAGACGACGATGACGCTGATGATAATGTTGATATTGGTATCCAAGGTGGATCAGGATTATGGGCTAACTCTCCAAAAAGGCCTTCACGGGGGCCAGGTTCAAGAGGAGGGAGAGGTTCTAGAAGACCTCGTGCAGCAAGAGGAAGAGCAAAGTAAATGAACATTTCTGTGATATGATACAATACATGGAATATTACCATTAAGATCAAATAAATATCAGTTACCTTTTCCTTGTGTGTTTATTCAATTGATGACCTTGATAAGTTACTTTTGAAATCATTAGATTGAGAGACTTTTTCTATTATTGAATTCAGTTTTCAGCTATAATATCCCAAGGACATTGATAACTAACGAAATAATTTTATCAAAAAACTGAGTTGTTTCAGGAATTCTTACTTTTTCAAAGCTATTTTTCGGCTTTTCTGGCCGTGGTCTGCAGGTTTTTATGCCTGATGTTTCGTCTACTACTGCGGTAGCCATTATCAAAGACGATGATCTAAGAATCGAAGTGCCCGAGTTGGTGCTCAAGTGCTCACAACGTTTATTTTCAGTTTTGACAATACGTTTTTTTTACACTAGATTGTGGGAGCCTTGATTCAGGCTTATGCTCCTTCGGGGTTAACACTTTCTCTTCGGTTTTATATTTTCATAGATGGGCATGGCTTGATTTCTCATAATTGGATTACCCGACCTTGTTTGTGTACACACCATTACTTCATCGCCATTGATAATGTCCACCGCAGTAGTAGACGAAACGTCACGTATGAAAACCTGCGGACCACGGACGAAAACCCGAAAAATAGCTTTAACACAGACTTCGGCCGTGAAAGTTTACATTCTTCAAATCTTACGTTACTTTTTCAAAAATGAACTTTACTATATTTTAAATGCTATATCAACATTTTTTGTCGGTTTATGCGCCGTCGTATTCTGTACATTTTTAGAACTTTTTTTATATTTACATTCATACATTTTTGGAACTCTTTTATATCTACATTTATACTTTATTAGTACATTTTTTATATGAACACTGCATTTCTTGTACTTTGTCAATAAGATGCAAATCTTCGGACAATAAAGTATATTTTGATTTTATTTGATTGATTTGATTTGAAAACTCAACTCAGAATTCATCATCGTAAATTCATCATTGCTGTAGTATGTTTCAGTTAAAAGCAACTATTTTACTGATTTTTTCAAATTCCCTTAAATTTTTTATTCCACTTTATAATTGATTATAATTTTTTTGCTCCTAACATTATGGAATTTTTATGAAAGTTTTTTTGTCAGTAAAACTAGTAGTACGTCATTTTTTTATCAAGTGTTATGAAATTTGTCATTACCCTGCATTGTAAGATAGTTTTTGTGTAACAAACAGTTTATAAAATAAATAAACTGAAAACAGTTAAAATACGGTGATCGATAAACAAAGGTTTATAATGGTTTTGAGTTTACACAACTACCCTCTCTGAAAAAACTGAGTTCATCAGTTATTTTTTGCAAAAAACCTCAGAATTCAATACCATACCTAAGGTGAGACAAGAGCATAGCAAGTACTTCTTTTCCATAGAGAATCCAAGATCATTCGTTACTACTCGAACTTCTTAGCATCAAAATAATAACTCCTCATTTAGCATAATCGATATTGAAACCAAGAAATTTTGTATTCGATTTAGTAATTTAGTATTGGCTGAAGGTCTTCGGTTGATGGCCCTTTGGTATTCACCAATAAAAGACATTTATTTCAGTTTTCAAATAAGGGTTCATGTAATTTAAAATTACTGTACTGTGGTCATTTATGCTAAGGTATGTTAATTGACCTGAGGCAAAATTGGTATCAACAATTTAATATAGTTTTCTGTCTGACAACACAAAAATATCTATAGTCATGCCAAAGTTATATTTTCTTTTTTATGAAAACTGTAGTACTTTGCAGTTTAAAAGTTAAGACCTTTAGATCATATGTTACTTTGAGTGGGGTGTCAAGTGGTATCATTTTATAAATAAATATTGTCGTTTTTCGACATTTTTCTTGAAAAATCGTAAGGAAAAAATGAATTTATCCGCCATTTCTTTCAACCAGAATGTATAGACTATTATTGTCTAGAAGGAAAACAGCAAATTCAAAATATACCTTATTGAAAAACTTAGAATAAGTGAGAGAAACTCTCGCATATTGCTCTTTATTTGGAGTTTAATGATTTGTGACCCTGAAGATTCCAAAGATTAAGGAGGTCTTACCTTCTATCGAGCATTCAATAGTATACCTGTAGGTTCTTAAAACATTTCTTCAAATTATCCATATAAATGAAGATCTTATGAATGCCTATAAGGGTCCAACGATCAACTAGGACTTATTTATATGTGATCAATATAAACAGGATCAGTTTGGGATAGGAGGTCAGGTTAAATTGGGTTCAAAGTCAAAATTCACGAGTTAAATGTCGGAACAATATAATTCCGAATTTGAAGACTAAATTGTCGAGTTATTCAATAGAAGAAAAATATTGAATCTAAATTTGAATTTCAACATAAACTTTTCACAAATATGTATCAATTCTTTGAGGTTTTTATTTCGGTTTGTATCTGAAAGCAACTTCTGTGCATCATTTACGCATGTTTGTAAATAGTTTTTATTGATATATTTAGTATTTTTCCTTCCTTTCTTCTGAAGTTCCCGGCTCTTTTATTCAGTCATGGAGAAATAGAGTTCCAAAAAGGTTTTTTCCAAAAACTAATCTCTTCTAGAAATTTTTTATTATCAATAAAAATTTGATTATGTTGATGAAAGGACACTCAAAAAGTGTCAAAATCTGATCACAAGGACTTTCAACAGGAGTCTACAGGTTTCTAATCCTACAGTTCCTAAAGTATACTATTATGGTCTACCAAAAATTCACAGATCTCGCAAGTTGGAGCAACCAATTGCCTTCGCCATAAGTTCCCCCGCTTATAAAATTGCTAAATGTCTAACCAAAAATGTTGATTCACCTGAATTCATAGACTTGGATACGACATGGAGATTATATATTTGCGATTTTTCACACAAAAAATCTAAGATAGAGTTTATCCCTGTTATAAACGATAGATTTACATATGAAGAAACAACGAGAAGTTATCTTTCTTGAATGTTTGGGCGATTAGAAATAACCATGGCCTAGAATTTGCTATCTGTAGAAAAAATACCAGTGCTTTAAAATATATAGCTCACCATTGTCCAGAACATAAAATAACGCGACTAAACATAGGCTTGTTCTGTTCACCTTGACTAAACGTAGATACGATATTGAGAATTACTGTTATCAGAGACACAGCTGAAAGCAACTGGTAGATATCCTCCAAACATAGTAGATAAGTTGATTAGGGAACGTAAATCTTCAACTTTTCGAAAATATAGTTCATTGTCCTTGGTTCATACTTCATTGTCCTTCCGTATGAACCAAGATACACTAACAGATTAGATCGATTGTTTAAAAAGTTAACCGTAAAATTAGCCTTGAAAACTTCTTGCTCACTCCATCAAATGTTACGTAAGTCTAAATATAAAATGTTGGAAAACGAAAAGTCGGGGATATATGAAATAAGCTGTGACCACTGTTACAAAAATTACATCGGTTAGACAAAGCGAGCTATTGAAACTCGTTTCAAAGAACACGTAGCAAGAATCCAATTTCGGGGAGCAGAAATAGATTTAAGGATGTTTTCGAAAGTTTGGGAACAGCAATGTGTGACACAAGAACTATGAACAGTGACAAAGGTCCCATTCGAAACAGTCCATTGTTTATTTGAATCGCTATGTTGAAATTAGCAGAAATTTTCACGAAAAAATGTCCCGCGAATTTCTACCCGAGATCATTGATGAGTGTCTGAAAGTGAACCCTGTTAGATATAAATAGAGAGCAGTTTTGAAGTTAGGAATTAGTGTTATTCATCTCTTGAAGACGCCTACTTGGTTGATGAAACGCGTGTCGAGAAGAGTGTTGCAGGTCTGGTGTTTGGAAACGGTACTTGTTTTGATTTATTATTCACCAGAGGTTCCAGTTCTACCTTTCATTCCTGTATTGAATGTTGATGACGGGGGAGGGAGTAATTAGCCTCATACATGCATTCTTTTTCCATATTTCTCTTTTTATATGATGGTTGAGTAAAAATCTTGTCTCAAATAATTTCAACCTTTCAGGGACCGTACAACATGTACTTATTATATTGATTGACGAACTGATCTATTGATTATTGGAACTTGTAGTGTAGTAGTAAATAAATTAGCATCAATGAGTGGTAAAGAGACTTTTATGCATTTATTAGATATATCTTAATTGTTGTACGCTGTACCGACTCATTTAATGAATTAATAAAATCACTTTTTTCTATGCCTGGCGTCATTACTAATATATTTATCACCCACATAGATACATAATCTAGTAAACGAGTGAACAAAATTCACAAAGTTATTGTTTAGCAGGCTCGTTACTCAATTTCTATTCAACGAAATTTGTTTTAGACTCCACTATCAATGAAGTGACGTAACTGATGAATAACTGGTTATAAGCTGAAAGCCCACGTGATCGCGCACCAATAACCGTGGACAGCTTCCTCGATTTTTACCTACCCGCCCACGGTTTCCTATCTCGCACAGCGGCAACAGTGTCCTGTCATTCTGTGTTGCTTCAGCTAGGTGCATGCATGGTTAGTCGAGTGTTGTGTTGTTGTATTTGCATTTAATTCTGATAGATATGTACTATCTTTTAATCGTTTCCTCGCGCAAGTGTAGTTTTTTGCAGTGATTTATTCGCGTTTCCTGGAACATTCCGATTCAAGATGCCGACTACCCCGGAATGCGATTATGACATTTTGTCGAACGAAGGGTTGCTGTCGCTTCTGAGAAATGAATCCAAGAATATTGTTATTTTAGACTGCCGCAGTTCAAATGAATACGGAGAATCACACATTCGGGATGCTGTTAATTTTTCTATACCATCTATTATGTTGCGTAGGCTGGCCGCTGGGAAGATTGATCTAGCATCAACTATAAAGTGTAGAGAGTTGAAAACGAAAGTTTGCAACACCTACAAGGATAATTTGTTCGTACTTTACAATGACCTATCTGCGATTCAACATTATCAGAGTGATTCCGTTCTGACTGTTTTGTTGAGAAGACTCACGCAAGATGGTTGCCGTGTTTCATGTTTGGAAGGTTAGTATGCACTATGTTTATGTTTACAAACGTGAG